TTATATTTTTATAAAAAGTCAAGATTCTACTTTGTAACTTAATTTTTCTACTTACTACATTTTAACATCAGTATCTATTTGTCTAAGGAGCCCTGGTGGCACAATAGTTAAGCACTCGGCTGCTAACTGAAAAGGTCGGCAATTCAAACCCATCAGTTGCTCCATGGGAGAAAGATGTGGCAGTGTGCTTTTGTAAAGATTACAGCCTTGGAAACACTATGGGGCAGCTCTGTCCTGTAGGGTCACTGTGAGTCAGAATCAACTCGACAGCAGTGGGTTTGGTTTTGGTTTTGGTTTTGGATATCTGTTTATCTGGAGTCCTGGCACAGCAGTTAACACACTTGGCTGTGAACTGTAAGTTTAAAGGTTCGAGTCCACCCAGAGGTGCCTTGGGAGAAAGGAACACACATGGAGTTGTCATGAGTCAGAACTGACTCGACAGCAACTGATTTTTAGATATTTATGTACATCATTTTTAATGTAAAACACATTCTATTTAAAATTTAAATAGTACAAAAATAAATAACTACAGTAATAACTTATTTTTTTCAGTTGTGAAACAAAATTTTCTTTTGTCACAAAATAACTATATATTGTATGCCTATTTGCCAAAATTTACATAGAACAAGTATTATTTAAAACAATTTCTAAAAATCACTCCTTTTTTGCCTCTAAATCCTAGAGGTTTTGCTAGGGTACAAGTGCTTCCACCTCTTAGAAAAGTATAACTCTGCTAAGGTTTAAACCCATAAGTTGGAATGAGTAATATTATACTCACTGAAATTTTTTTGCAGCTTTTTGACTTTCTGTCCCTCATCACTTTGATATGTCAAAGGCAGTTCTACCTGAACTGAAAAAAAGAACAGTGACTCTATTGTTTGTTTTGTTTTTGATTCATTGATAGATGGATAACATAAAGACTATAAAAAATTAAAGACACGCCCGAAATAAATATTTATAGTCATGTCACAAAAGCCAGTACTTCATGAGAATATGAAGGAAAATAGGAGCTCTTGCAGTTTGCTTTCCAGTGACTTAGGCCCTGGAGGAACTCACAGTCAATATGCTTGTAGAGCTCTATAGCGTTTCAAAAAGCTAAAGTTATAAAGTGTTTATGGTCTTATTCAAGTGCCTCATAATAGTTTAATGAAACGCTTTATATTTCCTTGTTTAGTACAGCTTATAAGGAATTTTGTAGACAGAGGGTATTCTGAAGGGAAAAATTTGATTTATCATTGTGGCTTTGGACCAAGCAAATAGTTTTTGAGCAGTTACCATCTACTGTACATTCTTTTCTTTTTCCCCTTTGTCCCCTATATGCTGTACTGTATTCATGGATTTATTTGCCCCATATGTAAATACATGTGTGGAAATATCTTGTCAAACATACATATTCCTGAGTATAGTCCCAGAAGGGACCGCTCCCTGGAGAAGGATATCATGCTTTGTAAAGTGGAGGGTCAACGGAAAAGAGGAAGGCCCTCAACAAGATGGATTGACACAGTGGCTGCAACGATGGGCTCAAGTATAGGAAGGATTGTGAGGCTGGCACAGGACTGGACAGTGTTTCATTCTGTACATAGGGTCACTATGAGTCGGAGCCGATTCAATAGCACCTAACGACAACAGTCCATTCTCCTTCCCACATCTGTTCAGTTATGCATCTACTCTTCCATCTTGACTGTTGTTATTACTATTATTGCAGAATTGTGTATGAATTACATCCATTGCCTTTAACTCCTGCACTCATCCCAGCATCTTTCTTTCCTTGATCATTTTGTGCTGACTTCCCCCTTAATTATATAGATTGCCTTCCCCTTCACCCAAGTTAATATGTGTCTACTCTCTAGTTAGTGGTTACTGTCCCTTCCCCTCCACCCCTGTTAGCCATCAAAGAATATTAATTTTTGTTTGAAAACTTTCTCTTGACTTTTTACAGTCGTGGTCTCATACAATATTTGTCATTTTGTGATTAACTGATTTCACTCAGTATACTGTTCTCTAGCTTCATCCATTTTATGAGATGTTTCATAGATTCATCATTATTCTTTAACATTACGTAGTATTCCATTGTGTGTATGTACCATAGTTTGTTTATCCATTCATCCATTGATGGACATTAAGGTTGTTTCCAGCTTTTGCTGTTGTGAGTAGTGCTGCAGTGAACATGGGCGTGCATATATCTGTTCACATTGTGACTCTTATTTCTCTGGGATTTATGCCTACTAGTGGGATTGCTCAGTCATAAGGTATTTCTGTTTCCAGCTTTTTCCACAGTAGTTTCTGTTTCCAGCTATTTTCACAGTGGTTGCACCATTTTGCAGTCCTAGCAGCAGTGTGTGAGGGTTTCAGTCTCTCCATAGTCTTGTTAGCATGTGATATTTTCTGTTTTTCTGAACTTAGTTATTATTGCTGGGGTGAGATGATAGATCATTGTTTTGATTTGCATCTCTCTAACAACTAATGATAGGGAGTATTTCATGTGTTTGTTGGCTGCCTGAATGTCGTCTCTGGTGGAGTATCTGTTCATGCCCTCTGCCCGTTGTTTAATTGGATTGCTTATCTTTGTTGTTGTTGTTGAAGTGTTGAAATTTTCTGTCTACTGTACATTCTTCTAGGAGTTTTCAGGGCACAAAGATGGGGAAGTATGGTCTGAGGCTCTCAAGCAAATAATAGTTCTACAAAGTAGAGTCTGTTAAGTCCCATACGTAGGATATATGCATTCAGCAAACCTATATTCTATGCCTAATCAGGACTATGTAAGGCAGTAGAGTGAGGAGTATACACAACTCTACCCCTTAGGAGCTCACACTTGAACCGAGGGAGAAAGTCAAGTACATAAAAGTATATTGATTTTAGCATAAAAAGATGTTTAAGGCTATAGTGCCCAAAAGAAAGGTGTAGCTAACTGCCTGGGGGAAGTGAGAGAACATTCCAGAGGAGGTAATGTTTGAGTTGGATCTTGAAGACTCTAGTATTGAACCATTAGGAAAGGGTAGAGAGAGGCTGTCTTGGCATAAAGAGCACGGTATTAAAGAACAAGAAATAGCAAGAGGTACTTATAGCTGAATAATGATGGTAATAATTAATGTATTTGAGTCCCTGGAATGTCTCACTTGTGTTTTTTCTTAATTAATGCTCAGCAGTGAAAACAACCCAAAGCATTAAACCAAAAACAAAAAGACCCAAAACAGGCCTGTTGCTTTGGAGTCGATTCTGGTTCATAGTGACCTATAGGACAGAGTAGAACTGCCCCATAGGGTTTCCAAGGCTGCAAATCTTTACAGGAGCAAACTGCTACATCTTTCTTTCATGCAACAGCTGATGGGTTCAAACTACTGACCTTTGGGTTAGCAGTCAAACACTTTAACCCTTGTGCCACCAGGGCGTCTACCCAATGTATTAGGTAAGTATAACTACCATCATCATCATCCAGATGAAGAAAATGAAGAACAGATAGGTATAGAAACTTGTTCAGCCAAGAAATGGCAGAACCAGGATTCAGACCCAAGTGTTCTGTGTACTTAGTTCTTGACCATTATACTGTACAGTGTCTCATTATTCAGGAAGTGACATTGAGAGTTCAAAGTGGGGAAATAATTGATCATATTCATGTTTTAGAAACAGAAGCATGACAGTGGGGTGTAGAAAAGTAGAGGGGAATGAGGCTGGAGGCTCGGAAAGCAATTAGAAAGCAGAGTTTGAACACAAATGTAGGAGGGATGAAAAGGAGAGAACAATAATGAGAAGTATTTGTGGGGCAGAAACGATGTATACCTAGTAGTGGGATTGCAGGATCATATGGTTTTTTCTGTTTTCAGCTTTTTAAGGACATGCCATACCATTTTCCACAATGGTTGCACCATTTTACAGTCCCACTCTATTGCTTGTATTGTGAGAGTGAAGAGGGAGGAGTTGTGGGTGACATTTTAGCCTGGCTGACTGGTAGGAGTGCTGATATTTTTTGTAATAGGCAATTTAGGAGATATTGGTATAATAAAGGTAACAAATACAGTTTTAGCTGTGTGGGGATGCTTTTAGATCACCCAGCTGGAAATTTCTAGTACATAGTTAGGATATACAGGTGACCCTCAAGAAAGATGCAAGCTAGAGAGAGAAACCTGGATTGTCAGAGTACAAGTGGAAGTTGAAGCTTGGGAGTGGATGAGGTTGCTTAGGGAGAGTTTGCAGAATAGAAGGGGACGAGAGTGTAGAATACAGGGAAGAGGTTGGAAAACAACAAATAGGAAAGAGGAAGAGAAAAAGAGAAGGAGGAAACTTGAAAAACCTTCTTTCCTTACCATTTAAAGTTAATTGGAAATTTAAAAGAATGCAGCAATCATCTCATGGAATCTAGGCTTTGCGGAGCCTTGGAGGCCTGAATGAACCCCTGAAACTATTGCCCTGAGATAATCTTTAAACCTTAAACCAAAAAAAATCCCCTGAAGTATTTTTAAAACCAAACAATAGCTTAACTAGTAAAGAATATCTGCTTGAGCAGTAGCTCCTTTAAGATTTATGTGGGTCAGATGGACAACAGCAACTCAAAAGAGTCGATGGAAACCTTAGAGGGCAGTGAATTTATGTTAATGATGGTAGAACAACTCAGAAAAAGAGGGTGAGAATGGTTGCACAACTTGCTGATTGTAATAATGTCACTGAATTATACATGCAGAGACTTGAATGGGTGTTTTTACTGGGTATATTCTCAACAACAACAAAAATAACTTGTCTTTTAAAAAAGAATGCAGCAACCCAGTAACTTTTAGTCTTGGAATTTTGAAAA